GTTCCTCCTGATTTTTGACTGTAGTGTCCTGTAATTCTTCAAGTTTGTTTTTCATCCATTGAAAACATTCAATCATCTTTTTTCTAAATTCTGCATCAGAAAATTCCATCAAACTTTCTGGCTTCATGAAATCCATTGCTACTGTGTCATTTTGGCGGGGAGATATCTTATTTTGGGCTTGCGTGGTGAGCGCGGTACCCTGCTTCTTTCGAGACATTGAAGTGGAAGAGTTGTTGAAAACGAAGGTGTTAGTTGGTTCTTGGTTTGATGCCACTACTTCTTTATAAAGATGCCCAGTACCTTCCTTTTGCTTAGGTTGAGGGGACCAATGTGGTAGGGCCAAAAGGCAGTTTGTAGTCTAAAGAAACTAAATCTTCAATATTGGACAACTTTTTTCAAGTGCTGTTGAAATATTCTATAAATTTGGTTTATATTTTTTGTTCTTTGTGGTTTTTTGTTTTGTTTTTGTTGTTTTTCCCCCCCCTTTTGTTTAAGTCCAGCCCTCGGGCCCCAAAGTTCAGAGCTGGGGGGGGGGGGGGCGTGAGCCCGGTCTGGGGGGAGCAATGCGATACCTGAAGATGGGGGTCGTGGGTCAGAGCTGCAGGGGTATGTCAGTCTGAAATCTTTTGAACAAGCAAGATTAAAAATAATTGGTGAGTTGAATGCAAAAGTTGGAAACAAGGAAAATACAGGCTTAGTGACAGAAGTGAGGCTGGAGCTAGAATGATAGAATTTTATAAAATCATTAGTTTACATACCGTTCTCACCACTGGGCCAGTAGGCAGTGTCATGCTAGATGGAGAAAAGATTGAAGTTTTTAATGATTTTATCTTGCTTGGATCCACAATCAACAATCTTGCCACCAGAAGTTAGGAGATCAAAAACCAAGTTGCATTAGGAAAATCTATTGCCAGGGACCTCTCCTAAAGAGCAGTGATGTCAGTCTAGAGACTAACATGCACTTGATCCAGGCTGTGGTCTTTTCAGTCACTTGCTATGTAGAAGAGAGCTGGGCAATCACGAAAGATGACTGAAAAAGAATTGATGCCTTTGAGTTGTGATGCTAAAAATGAGTATTGAACATTCCATGAAAACAAACAGGTTTGTCCCAAAGAGAGTGAAACCAGGTTGCTTCTTGGACGCAAGGATTTTGAAACTCTTACATACTTCGGGCATGCTGCCAGGAGGAACTAGTCCTTGGATAAGATCATGTTTGAAAGGGTGGAGGGTCAGTGCAGAATAGGAAGACCCTGGATGAGGTGGATTGACACCGTGACTGTAGCAGTGGGGACAGAGCCAGTGAGATAAGCTCAGGATAGGGCAGGATTTGGAGCCGTTGTTCATAGGGTTGCTCTAAGTTGTAGTTGAGTTGATGGCACTATTTCAACAACAGCAAATGGCACACACTTCATAAAGCAAGGTATTGGAAGAGGTGGAGAAGGGGAGTCAGGATATTTTGGAAGAGTTAACTTTGGACCAGGGGAGGACCAGCTCAGCTCTTCATCTGAGGTGAGGATAGAAGCAGAGGTGGGTGGGGACAGCAAGCTTTTTCCTAAGAGGAGGCTGTGCCAGGTGCCCTGGCAGATGGTCAGCTCAGTACAGTGAGGCCATCATGTCAATTGAGAGTAGAGAAGTTTGAGATTACATGGGGGCCACAGGTTTAGAATATTGTTTGAATTTGCCTGGGCTTGGAGAAAACTGGAAGTCAAAGAATGAATGGGTAATTTATAGTGGTACAAACTTAGACATTCAAGATGTGTTTTCGTTGGACAAGTACAATTGAAAGCTAGCAGTCTAAAATAATTGGGGGTGAACATCGAGTTGGCAGTTATGATGCTCACAGCGGGGCATGGAAATGAGGTCAGGAAGGGGTAGGTTCTCAGCTGGGGGAAACAGCAATGAATCAGAAATAGGGAGTGCTGTCGGTTTGTTCAGGTAAACAGGTTATTGTCAGAAATCCATCCGTACACCTTAGTTAAGAATGTTTTCATTTTTATTTTATATGACAAATGAAGTGAAAATATACTTCAGGTGTGCTGCTAACCCTAAGGTCGCGTGCCTCTGGTGGTTTGGAGCTTACGGTGGCTCTTTGGGGAGAAGGATGAGTCGTCTCCTGTGGGGTTTTCAACCATGGAAAAGCTCGCTGGAGTGACTGTCAGCTAAGAGTCGTTTCTGAGTAGATGGCAGTGAGTTGAGTAGCAGACTCGAAAAGTATCAGTAACTTCAACTTCCTACTCCAGGCGTGACCTCCTGCTGTAACATCCCAGATAAGTAAGTGCAAAGAAGGCTGTGTTTAGAGAAGGTGTGTACACCACTGTCCACTTGATTGTGGGCCTTATAGTAAATGGAATGCAGCCATGTTCGCCTTTTCTCATGCTGTGCTTTTTGGTGGTGTTTCCCCAGCCCCCCGCGGACCCGCAGGACAAGCCGTCTGGTACCTGGAGCCTGAGGGTCACACCTGTGGACTACCTGCTGGGCGTGGCTGACCTGACTGGAGAGCTAATGCGCATGTGCATCAACAGTGTTGGGAATGGGGACATCGACACCCCCTTTGAAGTGAGCCAGTTCCTTCGGCAGGTGTACGATGGGTTTTCATTCATCGGGAACACTGGGCCCTATGAGGTTTCTAAGAAGTTGTACACGTTGAAGCAGAGTCTGGCCAAGGTGGAGAATGCGTGCTATGCCCTGAAAGTCAGGGGCTCAGAGATTCCCAAACACATGCTGGCGGATGTGTTTTCAGTCAAAACGGAAATGATTGATCAAGAAGAGGGCATCTCGTAGAACTTTGTGTGCATACTGCCTTGAAAACTCTGAGAAAGACCAATTTGTAGACTGTTATTTTGTATTTTATTTTACTTTATTGTGGCTTTCACATAGAAAGGTTTTCAGTTGTACTTATTTTAAATTGTATACAAATTATACATAACATTACCCAAATGACAAATTTCCTGTATCTTATTCATAAACATTTGCATAAAAATGTTGCTTCTATGCCTTTGGAATTTTGCTGGTTACCCTTCATCATTTGTTTTTGTGAACATGCTTCAGAATGCACTTTCTGCCGTAGCTGTGTTGATTGACTTTGTGAGAATTTTGGAGTACTAATATTTCATAAAAGCCATTTATAATTTATAAAGTGGTGGTTTTGCTGTCAATAGAAGGATTTCTTAGATGCAATCTTTTCTTGAATTTCCTGTTTTAAGTTTTTTGGTGTTATTGTGCTTCCAAAACAGGTTTATTTCATGGAAACGTAAAGATCAGTGAGGTTGTATCAAGTTTTATTAGGTATTTTAGTGAGAATGGATAATGTGTTCTGGTCACCTTTGAAGTGGTTTCCCAGAATTGACAAGAAGTTAACAAGACATTAATTGCTTCATTTTTATTTGTCTTTTTTTTTTTTTTTGGTCACAGAAGATCTTAAAAGTAATTGGCACTGACATTGGCCCACTGTGTTTGAATTGAAATACACACATGCAGATAGAACAAAAAGGCTTCTTAGTAATGATGACTTAAAAGTCTTTTTGTTGTTATATTGCATAATTATTAAGAAGTCTTGAGGATTTTATATATCAAGTTGTAATTGTTTAACTGTTACTTGGTGGTTTTAAAAGTTACCAAAGAAAATTTATCATGTATAGTTGAGCAATAAGACAGCTGTTGACATGGTGGTCTCTTGCAGTCATTAGAATTGGGATTTGGCTGTTAAATTCAGTTGTAGCGTATTCCCAGTGTGTGACACTGACTTGATTGAGCATGGCACTCTTGGCATAGCCATATGTTACTTTCAGATTGTAATTTTTTAAGAACTTCTGGATTTTAGTTTTGGAAAGATGCTCTCTTTGCAAGGACTGATTCTCTGGAATTCCAGTTCTTTAAAAAAATATACCCAAAAGTTAGATAAAACCGACATGCCTAATAAATTAGGTTCATACTGGTGGGTTTTTATTTTTTAAAGTGTTGTTCGTTTCAAGGGTGATGGGTTTGTTTGTTTTATAAGCCTTTGTTTTCCCCTTCTAAGATACACTGCTGAAATGTACTCCCATTGTGTATTTTTATTTCTTCTACCACTTGAAGTTAAATCTGTAGTGTTTAAAAGTGAAATAATATTGGATTGATAGATGTTTTACAGATGTTTAAAAACTGAAGTCTTTTGAATAAAATATTAAAATAAAAAATTAAGCCCTTTTTTTGTCATATTGAGAAATGATTAATAAAAGTACTTCAGAAGTTTTTGCCTGAAACAGGAAACCTAATAAAAACATTTCTTCTTAATAATTTATAGTTTATTAAAGCAAGCTTGAGGTAGAGTGGCTTTAAAGGTTAATGTCACAGACGCACATCTCTCCTTCTTTCGGTCCTTGATAATCTTCCTCACATCCTTCTTGCATGAGTGCTCATATCTCATTGGTCCAGCAAGATAACGTTACACTTGTTTTTTCTTTATAGGTATAAACTTTTTTTTTAAATATGGGTTTGCATACAATAATTTGTTTACGTTGTGTTTGAATCACGTACATTCCCCCCTCCCTCCACCCACCAAACTCTTCGTCCACGTGATTTTCTCCCTTCCCACCTTTGACTCCCTTGTCCCCTCCCCTTCCCTCTTTGGATATCCATACACATCTTACAGACTATCCTTCTGTTTTTACAATAATGGGCTTATACAGTACTTGTTCTTATGCACCTGAGTTCACTCAGCACAGTGCTCTCTTGCCTCTTTCATGTTATATAGCATTTTTTAAAAATCAGTGCTCCTGAGTGCTGCATAGTATTCCATCATCTAACTATAGCAGTTTCTCAATTCAGTTGTTTGTTGATGGACATTTAGGTTGTTCCCATGTTCTTACTGTTGTGAATAATGCTGCGATGAACATTGGTGCACAAATAGCCGTTTGTGTCTCAGTTCTATTTTCCTTAGAGTATATTCCTAGGAGTAGACTATGTGGGTTTCTATTCAGCTTTTTGAAGAAATGCCAAACTGCCTTCCAGAGTGGTTGTACTATTTTACATTCCCACCAACAGCGTATGAGAGTTCCAGTCTCTCCACATCCTCTCCAATATATTTTGCCTGATGTCCTGTTAAACTTTGCTATTGCTGTTGGGGTGAGATGATATCTCATGGTGGTTTTGATTCTCACCTCTCTGACTGCTAGTGATTTTGAGCATTTCTTCCTGTGTCTGAATGTCCATGCCTATCTCTTTAACCTAGTCACTGAAAGGGAGAACCCCTTCATGAACCCACTCATTTATCCAGAAGGAAAAAGGCAAACATACAGGGGCCAAGTCAGGATGCTGCTATGGAGCAGGAAAAGCTGGCCATTCTGTAGTCCGGCAGCAGCATTCTGGGGACAGAGTTAAGTCCTGCTGGTATGTGTTGTCAGACTAGCGTCCTTGGGGAATCCAAACATCCTGAATGTGCCTCCCATTTAAAGGACTTGCTCTGAAGCATCACCTGTGATAACATTTTAAATCCTTGGTATCAAAAGAGATTGGTTCTAGGTCATATCTGATAGAATTCCAAAAGGAAAGCTGGGCTATTTCCTTCCTAGGTGATATTTTTTCTGTGCGCTAAATTAATTGTTTTCAAGGTGCATACTGCAGAACCCTAAAAGTTTTTGAAGGTCCCTCAATGAAGGATACTGTTAGTTGCCAGCTATTTTACACTGTACTCAAACTGGAACTGCTCTTTTAAAATGGCAGAGTTTAAGATCTATGGAAAATAAGGCACAATCATTACATCCTTAGAATTTATAAACTGCTTTTGAGGGCAGTATCAGAAATGGCTGATAGTAATTTAAAATAACTGTTAGTAGGGTCAGTCCTTGGAAAAAGACATCATCCTTGGAAAGGTGGAGGACTCGACAAGAAGAATTGACACAGTGACTGTTAACAGTGGGCTCAAGTGTATCAGAGATGGTGAGGATGACAGAAATAGGGCAAAGTTCAGATCCATTTTTCATAGGGTTGCTATCAGGCATCATCAGTTCAGTGACACCCAACAACAATCTCGGTAGGCATCATAACAAATATGGACAACATTGAGAAGAATAGTTAGAACATTTAATTGTGTGCATGTAAAAACTATACATAGACCAAGAAACTTGTCCCAACAAACCAAAAGAGTATTGGTTTAAAATCAGGAAAGATGTGCATCATTGTTGTATCTTTTTTCCATACCTGTTTAATATGTATATTTAAGTAATCCGAGAAGCTGAACTTTATGGAGAAGAATGTGACATCAGGATATAGAAAGATTTACTTATCAGCAGAGAAGATTTGTATTGCAGCAGCTTGTTAAAAATAATTTAAAAAAAAAACAAAAAAAAAACCAACCAAAAAGTTTACAGAGTACCACCAGCTTGGATGTTTCACAAATATGCAGGGTTGTTTCAGTATATAAAAACCATTCAGCATAATGAAGTACTAATAGCATAAAAGGGAGAATGAGGGTAATTCAAAAGATGCCAAAAAATATTTGACTCCCTTTCTTAATGTAAATACTCAATAATCTAGAAATAGACTGTGACTAATAGAGACCCTATGCACAATGGCTCTGAACCCTGCCCTGTCCTGAGACAGTCTTGCTGGCTCTGACACAACTTTCCCCTTACCTCAGTCACTGTGTTAATCTATCTTATCCTGAGTCTTTCTCTCTTGCACTGTCCCTTCACCCTTCTAAGCATGATGTTCTCCTCCAGGGACTAGTCCCTCCTGGCTACGTGCCCAAAGTACGTGAGGCAGAGCTTGAAAATCCTTGCCTCCAGGGAGCAACCTGATTTTACCTTCTCCAAGACAGATCTGTTTTTTCTCTTGGCAGTTCATAGAATGCTCAGTACTCTTCTCCAGCATCACAAATCAAAGATACCGATTCCTCTTCTGTCATCCTTAGCCATTGTCCAGCTCTCAGATGCATAGAAAGTAATTGCAAAGATCATGGCCTGGCTCAAACGCATCTTAGCCTCTCGACTGACACCATTGCTTCTCAGCACTCTGGAGAGATCTCTGACAGCAGATTTATCCAGTGCAATTTGGTTTTTTGGTTTCCTGACTCCTGTGTCTTAATTGTGGAACTGAGCAAGTTAAAATTGTTAATTTCTTCTCCATCTATTATGGTGCCATTGACCCAGAGATGAGAATCTTTGCTTTTTGATGTTGAGCTTCAATCCATGTTGGAGACTGCAGTCCTTGACCGTCTGCAGCAAATGCTTCGGGTCCTCAGTTTCTGCAAGCAAAGTTGTATCATCTCCATAGCACAGGTTGTTGATGAGTCGTTCCTCCTTATAAAGTTTAGCGTCTCGAATAATCTGTTCCACTAATAAATATTAAAAAATGTGGAGATAGGATACATCCCTGACGCACTCCTTTCCTGATTTTGAACCATGCAGTGTTTCCTTGCTCTGTTCTGAAGACTACTTCCTGGTCCAACTATAGGTTTCAAATGAGCACAATCAGATGTTCTGGATTCCCATTCTTCTTAAAATAAACCACAATTTGTTGTGGTCCACACAGTCAACCTTATGAAGGGCATATATGAAAAACTGACTGCTCACATCTTAGTTTATGAAAGTATGGCAATTTTGTCCTAATAATAAAAATAAGACAAAGGTGGCCCTAGTTCAGAAGAAGAAAGAACTTTCAATTTGGTTGTTAGGAAGTTTAGATGTCATAGTCATATTAGAAAACTTAAAGTAACAAGGCCAACACATGAAGTGTTGGATAAGTCAATCACAAAAGGATAAACATTGTATGAGGTTATTTATGTAAAAAAGACAAGAATGTAT